AGATATGCTTGTTACTGCTTGTTCCTGACATGTTTATGTTAAAGGTAAGAAAATGCTAACCATAATAATATAAGAAATTTGGGTAACAAATACTTTTTGTTATTCATAACGCATAGGTAAGCTATGCGCTAATAAAGTATTTGTTACAAATACTTTTTGTTATTCATAACACATAGGTAAGCTATGCGCTGACAAAAGTATTTGTTACCCGTAACAGACTGTGAATTAATTTAATGTATCGCTGAAAATAAGCCTTTTTTAAAACATTTTCTATTGTCGCCAGATCGAACAAAATAGAATTTTTAGGCCATTTAAATTAAAAATTTATTATATATTGGACCTTTAACATATGATGAAACTATTTATGGTATATTAAAACAACCGACTTTTGAACTTTCAATAATAATAAAGTGAATTAAGACTATTAGCTACGAATCAATAAAAGCTTTTAAGCCTTTTAAATTGAAAATTAATAGTACCGTTCATACCACATCCCTGCATTGTTCTCCTAACTCATCTAAATGCGATTTAAGGGGCATGTCGACAGGCAGAAACTTATTGCATTGCTGTAGGTTTTGGCTGTGGAGACTCCATATTGCTTATTAGTATGCCATATACTGAAAGCAATGAACTGTCACTTCAGCAGTTTGACAGATCAGTTATCATTTCTTTGAAAATTTCGAAGAGGCAACCATTGTAGAAACATACAAGTAACAAAAAATCATACGTTCGTCAACAGCCTGAACGAAATTTTTAATAAAGTAGGAAAGATCTAATATTTAACTAGATAAATATAATCTTTATGAATTTTAATATTCGATATATATTTGAAAATTTAACAAAAAAACACTTAAAGTAATAAACACGGAAACACATTCTTAACCTTTTTAAGGCATTTAGCCGTTTTAGTAGTATAATATGTAGGAAACCCTAATGGAATCCCTAACCTTTGGTCCTATGCCACCTCATTTGATGGCATTGTTATGTAATTTCTGCGTATGTATGGGTGAAAATGATATGATTTGTAACTTGTAGGTTTGTACAATGAAGGCAACACGTCCCATTTACACATATACCGACGGCAGTTAATTTGCGGAAAAATTTGACAAAACTAGTCTAAACCCGCGGCTCCGCTCGCACCTTGTTTTAAAGGATATCGTTAAACATGATAGCAATATAATGGAATAGTTAAATAAAAGTGGCCATACGCGGCATACAAGTGTGTTCGATCGGTATGCACATATGTATGTCGTGTGGTATGCACACAAAATCTAATGTTTCTCGTATCGCCGAAAAGGAAACATCGCGGACGAACAACTTTCCGTTTATACTATGTTCGGACCGACAACGAAAACATGTTTTCGTGGGAAAAACTGGTTTTCGCACGAAAACTTGTGTTTTCGTCCATGTAACATCTGTCAAACGAAAACACAGTTTGCTCTGAAAACTACTTGAAAACTTACATTCCACTCATAATCGGTGGCTGCTCTAGTTTAATCGATTTTTTGGAAGACATTTTATGCCGGCCCGAAATAGTCACTTGATATTTGTTTACATTCCATATACAGATGTCAATTTGTATTTGAAATTAATATTAAAAAATGGAGAAACAAAAACACAAGAAAAGAAATTGTTGGAGTGATAGGGCAGACGACCTACTGATGGAATTGTATCAGAATAAAATTAGTGCTTTTTGCGGGCCAAGGAAAAATAATACACAGTGACGGAAAAGACGATGGAGTTTCAGCAACAAGGTGTGCATTTCACGGCGAGTGAAAACAAATCTAAAATGCACAATCTTTCACAGCGATGTAGATAAATGAATAAAATTAAGGAAAAATAGAGTTATTACATAAATTGTATTGTTTTATAGAAGAGAGAAGACAGCAATCGCGTCAACTGGCGGTTCTCCCTCGCAGTGGCCACTGTATGAGAAAATGAAAGCCATACTGTTGCCGTACGTTAGCTACAGCGCCGAGAGCTTAGTGGAGGAAACGTTTCAAAGTCAGAAACATTTGTTTTGTAATTCAATATATTATTTATATTTACATACAGGGAAGCTGATGAAAGCCGCTACCAAAAAAAAATTAAATAACTTTTTTTCTATTTAATGAATTTGGTTAATATTTTTTTATTTTACAGATTGATTTTTACATTTAACAAAAATGGATAACTGGGACACTGAAACAAAAATTTGGATTGTCCGCCGCTATCCCGCACTGGACTTCGGTTCAAAGAGAGTATAGGCGCACGTTTGGCGGCAGTCCTCCGAGCAGATGGACCATAATGAGACTTGTAAACAATTTTGCCGAGGATGGGACAGTCAACAGAAGACCTTACCATCGAAACCCTTCAGTTCGAACGGAGGAAACAATCGCTGCTGTAGCTGCTGCCATACAAAACAATCCACGTGTTTCGACAAGAAGCTTATCTGCTCAAATGGGTGTCATTACAGTCAATTATGCACAAAGATTTGAACTTATTTTCATATAAAATTCAAATGGCCAACAAACTGAATGCTGCAGACTTGCAGATTCGCTTGGAATTTTGCCAGAAGATGCTTCAAATGGTGAAAAAGGATGGAAACATATTGAACTGTCTTTTCATGTCTGACGAGGCCCATTTCGATTTAAACGGCAACATAAACAAACAAAATTGTCGAATATGGAGTGCTTCCAACCCACAGATACTCCATGAGACGGAATTGCATCCACTTCGCGTCACAGTGTGGTGTGCAGTTTCATCACGCTGCATTGTCGGGTCCTACTTCTTCGAAGAAAACGGTCATACCGTTACGGTTACTGGAGACCGTTACTTGAGCATGTTGAGAGAGTTTTCTATCCAGAGTTACGCCGAATGAGAATTTCTTTCAACTCTGTGTGGTTTCAGCAAGATGGTGCAGATCCTCACACAGCCCAACCTGTTATGACAGAATTGCGACGAAAATTTCCCAATAAGCTGATATCCTGAAACTCCACATTCCGTTGCCCACCCAGGTCGCCTGACCTTACTGCACCTGACTTTTTCTTGTGGGGTTATTGCAAACAGGAAGTCTACAAAGAAAAACCAACAAATTTTAATGAACTAAGGCAATTGCGGCTATTCCTGTCTCAACTCTCCAAGCAGTAATGAACTACTTTGTGGTAAGAGGCCGCACATGTATCAACGAGGGGGGGGCGGCATTTAAATTCCATTATTTTTAAAACGAATTAGGTTATATTTAATAAAATTGAATAAGCTTTAACATGAATAAAAGAAAAATGAATTCCATACACCGAAAAAAAATTATTTGAGTTTCTTAATGTAGCAAAATTCATCAGCCACCCTGTACTTATAATATATACATTTTTAAAAAGGTGTTACTGACTCCAAACCACTTCAAACTTCGGTTGCTACATCTCCATTCCCATCACCGGTTTGCCTATCGTCGCAATCAGCGATGTCGATGTCGCCAACCGATACTTCATCGTTAACAATACCGTCTCCCGAGCCGAGTGATTCTGTAAATAAAAAAGGAGTAATTTTCAGAGCTTTATATTGAAAAAAACTTAAAAAATTTAAAAACAGCTCGAGAAAGCGAGTCGGGAATCCAATGAAACAGACAAACAAATTATGGACATGACAAATGATTGAACAATATATGAAAGACTCTAAAGAAACAAATGAACGATTACTTCAATTTCTAAAAAAATAAAAAAATTAATAAATATATATTATCTGTTTACTAATATTTGATCAACTTAGACATGAATTAGTTTTTATATGGAAAAAAATATGTGGAAGTATATGGAAAATAAAATCAAATTTTGTTTGGTGTGTACAACTTTATCTTTAATTCAATTTGTATGTTATTGTGTAAAATGTAGACATTGTGATACAATATACACATGAACTTACCAAAATATGCACAAAGTGCTGTCCGAGTCATTTTTCCATTAAATGGGATGCATATGAAACATTACACTAGTCTCCAACTCTTCCAAAGCGCGTAACCATTTGGCGTTTAGCGTGTCGTTGTTATCATTTAAAAAATTGTGAAGGACGCAACATGCTTTTATTATGGAGTTGGCATTCCGTACAGAGTTGTCAATTCCTTTTCCGATGCGTCGAAAATGGGCCTTGAGGCATTTTCGACAGCTCTACATGTTTTGAAAGAGCGTAGTTGAATACTTCTCACCGTTATTTTGATTTATGCTAAATGGATACGGTTTCATTAGCTGTTTGCTAAATCGAAAAGCCGAATCCCCAATAATGAATACTCACACATTTACGCCTGAAATTAAACTATACATTTCGCTTAGTAAAGCACTGTGGCAACTGCGCCAAGCCCACAGCTGATTCTGACAGCACTCATTTGCCGTCTCACTCCAACGACCGTCACTCACCAGCCACTACGCGGCGTGACGACTCAATGAGTCGGCCATTACGACACCGTAGAAAGCAGACACTCCAGCCACGTACAGACGACTCTTTCTCTTTTACTTTAACCACTCGAGCGAACGGACCACATGTTTAGCGCTCCGCCGTACTTTCATCCAACTTTATCGTCAAACATTAAAACGTAAAATAACGTAATAAATATAGTAAATTTTGTAACAAATGGACAATCTTATGATAACTTAGAATACGATTACTCCATATTGGTGACTCCGCGACGTGATTAAATTGGATTTCAAAACTCTGTCTCTCCACGCGTTAAAGTGTAATTTTTCCCCATACGTGTAGTGACGCGCCGCGTGTTTTCAAATTCAAACACTTTGATATTCATTAATTAACAGAATATACAGACAGATAAGCGCAAACGTTAATATTAATTGCAAATTCACGCTCGTTGTAATTTCTCATTCATCACTGTCTAAAATTCGTGCTAACCAGCGACCACGTGTTCTCAATCAATTCATTGACATGCCATTAGAGCATACGCCAAACAAATCAGTGAATTTTAACTCGTCAAATACGTCACTAGTAATCCAAACTTCTTAACACCAATCTCTTCGAACATGACCACAAACGACCCACCACCGACCGTCGGTGACGCCGCCCATGTTACCCAGAACACTGCATCAGTTGTAGCTGTGTCCAGTTGCAAACTCCCACAGTTCTGGTCCATCCAGCCTCGTTTGTGGTTTGTTCAGGTTGAAGCAGTGTTACAGGTGGCCCGTATCACAAATGACGCATCACGTTACAATCAAATCGTTAGTGCTTTGGACACTGATTCAATGTTACAGCTAGCGGACTTCCTGCAGAATCCACCAGAGATCGACAAGTACGCGAAGCTGAAGGACGAGACATTGAAACGGTTTTCGGAATTCAGCGACCGCCAGCTTCACCGAGCGCTTACGGAGGTTCRACTCGATGATAAAAAACCTAGCCAGCTCTTGCGCCAGCTCAGAATTCTCATGGGCGACAGGGCCTCAGAGGACTTATTGCGTATAAAATGGTTGGTATTGTTACCACAATCAACCAACCGATGTCTCAAACTACTCAGAGATGTCCCTGTAGATGAGCTTGCTGATGTTTCTGACGAGCTAATGGAGAACCAGACTGGCCATTTCGTTATGGCTACACATCACCAGCTTGCCCAGCCAGCCCACAGGGGCGACAAATTCGAAAATTCTCTGCTCACCAGTATGGCAAAGGACGTGTCAGGTCTTAAACTTGCCATAGCCGACCTGGTGACCTGTATCAAGGACCAAGGAATTACTCGAGACCGTCCCCAACCTGCACCACGCCGTTTCCAGCAGGCATCATCGAAGGAAGAGCCAGCCTCAGACATCAAGAAGTTCTGCTATTATCACCGTCTCTTTGGGTCCAGAGCCAAAAAGTGCGAGCGTCCTTGCACCTTCGACTCATCGAACACACATTCATGATCGCACAACAAACATGAGATTTTTTGTCGATTCTGGATCAATGATCTCTCTCATGCCCAAGTCCGCCATCACTCACACTCTCTTCGCAGTCAACGGGACCGTTATCCGAACCTACGGTCGAAAAGTCATCACCCTTGATTTCAATCTTCGCCGTACATTTAATTGGTCTTTTATAATCGCAAATGTTAAATCAGCCATTCTCGGTGCAGACTTCCTGGTCCACTTTGCATTGCTTCTAGATCTCAAAGGACGATGTCTCATCGATACAACCACGTCATGCATAACTCAGGGCACACTATCTGAGGCCACGGTACACAGCATTTCAACAATCCACCGCTCAATCCGTCCTGGTGCACATGACGCCACATACCTGCAATTACTCAACCAAATCATCGACATAATCATCCTAGCACCAATCCTGTCACAACCACTGACAGTCAAGCCGCTCATCACAGTGAGACAACTGGGCCACTAGTATTTGAGCGCCCACGACGTCTCTCCGGCGAGAAACTACAAATAGCTAAAGATGACAGGTGACTATCGAAAACTAAACGCGAATACAGTTCCACATCGATATCCAGTACCTCATGGGGATGACATTCTCCAGCATCTCCACGGATCTACCGTTTTCTCCACCATCGACTTGGTCAGGGCTTACCACCAGGTACCCATGTCCAAGTCAGACATTGCCAAAACAGCTGTAACCACTCCTTTTGGACTTTTTGAATTTCTGGGTATGCCACCCGGACTACGCAATGCCACGCAGACCTTTCAAAGACACCAGTTTGCCAGTTTGGCAAGTCTGAAGTCATCTACCTGGGGTACACCATCAACAAAGACGGCTACAYTCCACCCGCCGAACTCACGCAAGCAATCGCCGACTACACAAAGCCAGAAACCGTCAGCGATCTACGTCGTTTCCTGGGAATCGTCAACTACTACCGGCGARCGATCCCTCAAGCGGCCCAGATACAATCACCACTGACGGACTTTCTCAAACATGCCAAGAAGAAGGACAACACTAAAATCCAGTGGACACCTTCTGCAGATCAAGCCTGGCAAGACTGCAAAAAAAGTGTCATCCAAGCCACGCGCCTGGCTTTCCTCGCAGCAAACGCCATCCTCTCATTGAGATCCGATGCCTCGGATACAGCCATTGGGAGCATTCTTGAACAGCGACACAAGGACTCATGGCAACCACTGGCCTTTTTCTCCCTCAAGCTCAATCCAGCAGAGACCAGGTACTCCACGTACGATCGTGAACTTCTKKCCATCTTTGCTGCCATCARGTTTTTCAAGCACATTCTCGAGGGAAGAAACTTCAGCATCTTCACCGACCACAAGCCAATCATCTACGCTTTTTCTCAACGAGCTGACAAGGCATCACCTCGCCAACTACGTCAATTGGACTACATCTCACAGTTCTCARYTCAGATTTTCCATMCCAAGGGCACAGAAAATGTCGTAGCTGATGCGCTTTCGAGGATCAATGCCATAACTATGCCAACCAAACTTGATGTTGAGACCATTGCGCTGGCACAACTCCAAGATAACCAGCTTAGTGATGTCCAATCCAGCACATCTCTGAAGCTACACCTGCTGAACATGGAAGGTCATGATATACTATGTGATGTGACTAATAATTTTGCGCGACCTTATCTTCCACAGCCACTCAGACGCCAGGCTTTTGACATCATGCATGGTCTTTCTCATCCTAGTGGCAGGGCCACTGCCAATGAACTCACCAGAAGATTCGTCTGGACAGGTATTAGAAAAGACGCACTCCTCTGGTCCAGACACTGCATACTATGTCAACGTTCCAAGGTCCATCGTCACAATCGCACCACACCAAACCACATTGACGTACCAGACAATCGCTTCGAGCACGTCCACCTGGATCTCATAGAGMTGCCCAGAGTCAAGGACCTTCGCTACTGTCTGACGACCATTGACCGCTTCAGCAGATGGCCACATGCCATACCACTCAACAACGTGACAGCTGAGACAATTGCGCACGCCTTTTACACTCAGTGGATCTGTCAATTCGGTGCACCATTGACAATCACCACTGATCAAGGTCTGCAATTTGAATCAGCACTGTTCACTTCACTCTCACGAATGCTGGGCATTCATCGTATCAGAACGACACCGTATCATCCTCAATCGAATGGTCTGGTGGAACGGTGGCACCGCACACTCAAGGCTGCTCTCATGTGCAACAATGAGCACCTTGGCCGGACAGACTACCGTCAGTTCTGCTAGGACTCCGAACCGCATACAAACCAGATCTGAAAGCATCTACTGCTGAAATGCTTTTCGGGACTACACTGCGTATACCCGGTGACTTCTTTGTTACAGCAAGCACACCAGCTGATCCACAAACATTCGTGAGGAAATACAGGCAGGCAAATCATCCAAGCAATCAAGCCAACACCAACAGCTCATGACACCAAACACAAGCTGTTCCTACTCAAAAACCTTGACACGTGCACCCACGTCTTCAAGAAAGTAGACTMCATCAAGAAGCCTCTGGAACAACCATACACTGGCCCCACGAAGTCATCCAGCGTGTAGACGACAAAACCTACATCATCAGGATCAATGGGGCAGACAAAACAGTCTCAATCGACATGCWGAAGCCAGCATACATTGAGTTAACAGACAACTCACAATCCACACCTCAAAAATCACCACCCAACCCAACACAAAACAATTCGTGCCTTTCTCCAAGTCACTGGAAGGGGAGTGGATGTGGCAACTGCGCCACGCCAGCCCACAGCTGATTTTACCGACAGCACTCATTTGCCGTCTCACTCCAACGTCCGTCACTCACCAGCCACTACGCGGCRTGACGACTCAATGAGTCGGCCATTACGACACCGTAGAAAGCAGACACTCCAGCCACGCACAGACGACTCTTTCTCTTTTACTTCAACCACTTGAGGGAACGGACCACATGTTTAGCGCTCCGCCGTACTTTCATCAACTTCATCATTCACACATAAAACGTAAAAATAACTATTTTTGGATAAAACGTGTGAGCCGAAGGTCCTGGCAGCCAGTGCTTGGGATGGATGAATCCCAATGTGGCATCCGTCTGTAAACAATTCTTAGAACTTTAGCGCAAGCTTAAGGTTTTATAACCAATATTTACCAATTGCTCCTAAGCATTGTGCGAATCCAATTACCTCGAAACCAGTCACCAATTCGGTTATATTTTCTCTGTTTAAAGGCAACATTTTAAAACAGGATGGTTGCAGTAATCTCCAGATTTCGGTGCAAAATTCTAGTAAAATTTCGTAAACCGTAGATTTTCCTACACCGAACATGCTCGCGATACTATGATACTCTGCAGATGACCCTAAAGCACATAATGTTATAACCACCCTTTTCTCGATAGGAATAGCTACTAATAGCTAGAATAGAACTTCGGTCCATGCGAAAATTCTCTTTAAAAAAAACAGATCCGTTTCGTTGGCAATCGTGTTCCCAAACTGATTCTTACGTTGCTGGAATTAATAATATATAATGAAAATTTTATATCAGTAGGAACATATACATACTTTTGTCCAACATGAATTAATCGGCATACCAAGGTCCTTTGTTAAATCTATACTATTAGATGTTGTTTCTTTAACTCGGCGATCTTTTTGCCAAGGCTGCTGAGTAGTAAGACTCGCAATTAATATATTTTTCTCATAATTCTAAAAAACACGATCTTTAGTAATATTAACAATTTCAAAACTACCATTCTTGTTGCTCAAATGTAAACAAACAAATAAGTTTGTGAGCTGTCAGTGAAAACTCAGCGAAAACACAAATTGTCGGTCCGAACGACTTACATTCCACAACATACAAATGAGTTTTGCAAATGTTCTCAATGTCGGTCCGAACATAGTATTACCAATAACTTATCAACTGTACATAGTAGTTATAATGTATGACGGTACAAGAGTAGAGCAGAAGATGGCGCGTCGCATGCCCTTTACACATGTTTCATAATGTTTTGTTCAACATTCATCGAATGTTATTGCAAAATCGACAACTAAAACCAAGGCACACACGTCAGGAAACACAAACTTGGTCGTTGTCGTTGAATACAGGAATATTTGTAAGCTTTTATGCACTCATCTCAAATTTATTCAACTTTTTCTTATTCAGGAACAAGAATCATTATAATGTATGTATGTATATAAACCCTGGCAGTAGCTATGTGATGTTATTTAATTTTTTTTTTCCTTTTTTTGTTAAGTAATAAAATATTCAAATAATTCTTACACGAATATTGAACACATGCTTATGTTTTGAAATATAATTTTGTTTATTTATGAACATATAATTATAGAAAGTAGCCTATGCTCGTCCCGAGGTTCCACGCTACCTCATCCAAATTTTCAGTCAAATCGGTTCAGTCGTTCTTAATGCGGGAACATACAAAGAAGGCATTTTATTTTTATATATGAGAAGGTGTATTGGCGAATGAGCGAAGTATTTAATTTCATAAGCTTATACAAGCATAAATCAAAATATCACTGTTCATATTAAATTTATAATTTTAGTAGGTATATAAAATTTATACTACAATTATTATAGGCCGACAATATGAAATTTTTTTTAAAGAAATATATTTGTAGACAACTGTATATTTCCAGATTCTTATTTTTTCATCGATATAAAAATTTAAACAGTTCAAGAGCTCAAAACATGAGCTACATTAGGATGGCACAAGCAGGAACAAAATGGATGGCCAACTTATTCCAGTGTGAGAGCGCATCAAAATGAGCGTTTTTGATAACATTTTCGATTATGGCCAGATCGGACGAAATATAATAATTTTTGGGCATTTAAATTAAAACACCCAAGATTTAGTACGAATAAAATTACTATATAGTGGTTAATTAATATACGGAGAAACTAAATCTTCTTATTTCAATACCCAATAAAAACGTTTAAGCTTTTTAGCTCTCAATGAATAAATGTTTTTAACCATTCCCATTACT